CCAAACTCATTTGCCGTTCACCGTGGGCATTTCCCAGCCTTCACACAACTATACTCTGACCAGTGAAATGAGAGGAGAAGTGCGTTATGCCATACCCAAACCTGGCCATGGAAAACTTCCCTCCCAATCATGAATTTTCTCTATCCCTTATTTGTTAGCTGGATACAGATAACTCTGAGATATTAGAAGTGATGGAGCCACAAGATGGAAAGGAGGAGAAGGCCACCTCTGACTACACTCTTGAAACTACTCTGTAAGCAAGAAATTGACTCCTATTGTTGCAAGTGACCAGCATTTGAAGTTGTTTGCATAACAGTTTGTCTACCCTACCAAGGCATGGATCCAAACAACCTCCAAGACGCTATGATACACAGTAGGCACAGGATGATGTGGGTCTACCAGAAAGTGGCATGTCACCTGGGCCGGGGCTGGATGTCAAGGAAGGCTCCCCAGAAAGGGGGACACTTGAGATGGATCTTGAACATTGTGAGACAGCGAGAAAGGAAATAGAAGGAGGAGGAGGAGAATGCAAATGCAGTGTCGTGAAACTTTGAGGAAATGTGGTATACTGGGAACAGGTTAGTGATTCCTGACACTAGAATGCAGAGTGATGTTGGGAAATGGAGCTGCTCAATATGTGTTTGTTGAAATGACCGAACCTAGGAGACATAGTTACTACTAGAAATAATGGATAAGGGAAGAAAAAGGTAATCAAGGACATCTAACTTAAAAGGCAAATAGATGGCATTCTTCTCAGAGAGAGAGAAAATGGAGGAGAAAGAAATGAAAGGAAGTGTTCAGTGGAACACCCAAAAGAAGAATCAGCAGGTAGTTAGATGTGAGAGTCTGGAGCTCAGTCAGTGGTAAGGATGGGAGAGGTGGTTGAAGCCAAAAGCATGAGGGAATTGCTCAGGAAGAATATTCTGAATGACGAGCCAGAGAAATAGGGAGGGTAGAGGGAAAAATGGGGTAGAAGAGGGGACTGGGTGGGGAGAGAGAGAATATGAGAAAGAAGTCCTAGAAGCCAAAGAGAAGAGATATGGAAAAAGCAGTCAATAATGACAAATGCTGCAGAGAGATAAAGTAATATGACAGCCTGATAATGTGCGCTATACTTGACAACTAGCCAACTACTTATGACCTTCACAAGTTCCATTTCAGTACTGGCAAAAGCCAGGTTAAAATGGTCTGCAGAGTGAATGAGAGATGAAGAATTAGGGATGAGAATATAAAATACTCTGTAAAGAAAATGGACTCTAAGAAACAATTAGCTAGAAGTGGATAAAGAGACAGAGTTTGTTTCATTTGGTTTTAATTTTTCAGGATACAAGACTTAAACATGTAAGTATGTTGAATTCTCTGAACTTTACATCCCTAGCTATAAAATAGGGATAATAATGCCCCTTCTGTTTGGTCTTGGGTTGTTTTCAGAACAAATAAGATGACATATGTGAAAGATTCTAATCTAAGTACTATATTAAGGGCAAGGTTATTACGTATTTATAAATGTTGAAAATATGGAGTTATAAAAGTCAAGAGTCCAGTGAAATATGTTTGGCTATAAAATCAAGGTAAAAGTATAATCAGTTTTGATCTAGAAATATTAAGAAAAATGTCTTTTTAATACACACTATAAGTTGCTGGCCCCAAATCTGAGAGGCTAACAACAGATTTCTAAGTCCTATGCTGGACAAAATTCCCCTGGCACTCCTAGGTTACAGCCTGGGTTTCCAAACATCTTCATTGCACCAGAGAGAAAAAAAAAAAAAGCCAATTAACCCTGGCAGACTTCAGTGCATTAAGTCATCTGGGGATTTATTAGTCTTATGAGTAGTAGTTCTTAAATAAATATTTCTGGCAGTCACCCAGTTTCACAAAGCAAAAGACTAGCTCCATAATTTAGGTCTCATGACCAGTGAAATCATGGGGAATGGCCACAGCTTGCTGAGTATGTTATTCTAAGGGGAGATAGAGGTATTCTGGGAAGAGAACTAGCCACTTTAGGACTTCTTCCCCCAGGGCAGGTTAACCATCCAGAAGAATATGGTCCAATCATTATTTCACTAGCCACCCAATCTTTAAAGACTCTAAAAAGAACATTATTTTTAGCACTGAGACATGAGTAGAACTAGTTTTTCTCTCAAAACACTTCTAACAAGTGGTCTTAACATGTTCAATCTTTTTCCCGAGGAAGCCATCTTAACCCGCATAAAAGAAAAATGTCCCTTTCCTTTTTTCTCTACTTTTTTGGACAACTCCCTCTGACTTGGTTCCTAGTTGCTAATGTATCCTCCTCGGTTATTTTATTTTCAAGGATGTAGGGTGCTGATTAAGGTCAAGCAGCTGTGTTTCCAGCTCCAAAGAGTAATTATGCAGCATAAACTTTCCTTTACTATAGATACTAAAGATCTAGTCTTGAGGCCCAAATAAACCCTACTGCAATTATATATAAATATATATATATATATATAATCTGAAAGAGACCAGGCTACAATGCTAAAATGGTGCTGCTTTTATCCATGTTTCTCAAATATTTTATCCTTAATGTGTGACACCACCATGTGCAACTACTCAGCAGGTCAAATGTCTGCAGGTCAAGTTTTAGACCTTCCATCCACTGCAATGCTGAATTACTAGGACTAAGGGTCAATAAAGCAATTTCCAAATTACCTCAATCAGAGCCATGAAGAAAAAGATAAAACTTGTGCTGCCCTCAAATAATACCACCAAACATTTATATGGACCTTTATAGATAAACAAATATCTTTCAAAAGTTTACTTCGCTTATCCTTAACTTTTTAAAGTTTCTACTCGTCATCATCACTAATCAACAGAAGAGAATGCTGAGGCCCAGGGAGTCTAAGAACACCTCCCAAGGCTACCCAATTGTTTGAGAGCTGAACCAGGTCTATATCCAAGGTCCTCTGCCTCCTCAACTCTTTCCACTACACTTTAGATGGCCTCCATCATGTCACCCAGTTTATTTTTATTTTACTTTCCCGGCAACAATGGAGAGAGCCTGGCTTTCTCTGAAGTCATTAAGAATCTTTGATGGTATTAGGTAGCATGATTCTCTTTCTCGAGATTGCTGTTGCTATGCAGGGCCTTTTGTGGTTTCATATAAAATTTTAAAATATTTGTTCTAGTTCTGTGAAATATGCCATTGGAATCTTGATAGGAACTGTGTTGAATCTAGATTGCTTTGGGTAGTATGACATTTTAATGACATTAGTTCTTCCTACCCATGAACACAGTATGTGCTTCTACTTATTTGTATATCAAACTATGCTAAGGCCATAGTAATCAAAACAGCACAGTACTGGCATAAAAACAGACATATAGATTAGTGGATTAATCTCTATAATTAATATGGAGAGCCCAGAAATAAACCAACACCTTTATAGTCAATTAATATTCAACAGAGGAAGCAAGCATGTACAATGGGCTAAAGATAGCTTATTTAATAAATGGTGTTGGGAAAACTGGACAGATACATGCAAAAAATGAAACTAGACCACCTTCTTACATCACACACAGGAATAAATTTGAAATGGATTAAAGACTTAAATGTTAGATCCCAAACCAAAAATATCCTAGAAGAAAATACAGGCAGCAAAATCTTGGACATAGCTGATAGCAACATTTTATCCGATATAACTCCCCAGGCAAGGGAAACAAAAGTAAAAATAAACAAATAGCACTACATCAAACTAAAAAGTTTTTGAACATCAAAAAAATAAAAAAGACAATCCACAGAATGCGATAACATATTCACCAATACATCTGATAAGGGCTTAATAGCCAAAATTTATAAAGAACTTACAAAACTCAACACCCCCCCAAAAAAACCCACCCAATTAAAAAATGGGCAAAGACCTGAATAGATACTTTTCCAAAGAGGACATACAAATGGCCAATAAGCATGTGAAAAGATGCTCAGTGTGACTAATATCAGAGAAATGCACATTAAAACCACGATGAGATACAATCTCATACTTGACAGAATGGCTATCATCAGTAAATTAAAAAAAAAAACAACCAAATGCTAACAAGGATGTGGAGAAAGGGGAACTGTTTTGAACTGTTGGTGGGAATGCAGTCTTCTGCAGCCACTGTGAAAAGCAGTATGGAGATACCTCAAAAAATAAAAAATGAATCTGCCTTTCGATCCAGCAATCCCACTTCTGGGAATATATCCAAAGGAACCCAAAACACTAATTCGAAAGAACATAAGCATCCCTATGTTCACTGAAGCATTATTTACAATCGCCAAGATAGGGATATAGCCCAAGTGTCCATCAGTAGGTGAGTAGATAAAACAACTCTGGGACATTTACACAATGGAATACTACTCAGCTGTAAAAAAAAAAAAAAAAAAAAAAGGAAAAAATTTTACCCTTTGTGACAGCATGAATGGACCTAGAGAACATTATGCTAAGTGAAAAAAATAGAGAAAGACAAATATCACACGATTTCACATATATATGGAATCTAATAAATAAACAGAACTAACAAGCAAAATAGAGACAGACTCAGATGGAGAACAAGATGACAGCTAAGCAGTGGGGAGGACAGGGGTGAGGGGATTGAGCAAAAAGGAAAAAGGACTCATGGACATGGACAACAGTGTGGTGATTGCGGGGGTTGGGAATAGAGGACTAAATGGTTATGGAAAAATACATTAATTAAAAAATCTTTGATGAGACACGGACATGAATTCAGTTCTCCCACTAATGAAAATACATAATATACTGGCTAAATAAGGAATGTTATGGTATCATCATGGATGTGGAAAGCTTTTTAAAGAATGCACCAAGGATGCTTGGAATCCCGAAAAGGCCAGAGAAGATATTACAAACAACTGACCAAATATGGAAAAAAATTTCATGAGCAATCAGTTTTTTTTCATTGAAATGGTTTGTTTTTATTTTATAAGGGTTTTGCTTTTTTGAAAAACCCTGGTTTTTTTTAAAGTATTTGAAAGTAACATCATGACCCACCTGTAAATGGAGAAGGAAGCCACCGATCGAATGAGGGATGCCAAAGCCCCCACTTTGGCAGCTTCCACTGCACCCCGGACTCGGTATTCCACTGTCTTGAAATAGATGGCATATGGCTGATTATAAACAACAATCTTCCCTTTGGCTTCTGGGGCCCTTCTCTGCAGCTCATCGAAAGAGGTCACCACCAGCACTTCTGCCGTAATGCCTAGAAATAAAAGCCATCCAAGATCAACTTATGGTTTCCGATCAGCCAGGTGGAACTGGCATGTGAAAGGTCACACATGCTTTACCTGCTACATCTGGAAAACTGGTTGGAGTGATCAAAGTTTTACAGCCATTTACCATGGGAGAAAGACTGTGGGGGTTAGCCAGTTTCCCGAGAGAAAAGGCATTCGAAATAACATAACATATGACTCAAAAGGTTTTTCAGCACACTTGACCAGCTGGTATTAAATCACAAATGGCTTGACAAGATAGTGTTTTTTTTCCTTCTTTCCCACCCTAAGAAGTCACAAGTTTCATAGAATGATACTACTTATTCATAAAGAAAATGCATCTTAGGAAGCTCTCCTTAGGGTTAATGAAACACATTTATCTTTTCACAAAACTATTTTGATATGTTGGTATACAACCTTCACTGACATCATACAAAGAATAGCCATTCATGAAGAATGATCTTAGAAGCCAGCGATCTTCATACACTTTTAAGAAATAGTCAGTGTAACCTCTTCCAAAACCCAGAAAATGTCCTCTTGTTTTCTTGCCTCCCTTGTACAAAACATTCTCAAAGGAGGCGGAAATTTCCCATGCTTCTCAGTTCACAGTACTTGTTCACACCAAACACATCACTAATCTTCAGCTCAGATTTCTGAGGATGCTGTACAACTGTCCTAGTATCCTGTTGTCTCACATGAAGAGACATACTATCCTTCCTCATACCACAAATCTTGCTCAGATCTTTCTCGTTAGGGAACAAGGTCTCACAGGTTCTGAGAAGTCATTCAGACACTGCCAGACCACTGAAGATCCAATTTTATGGAGCAGTTAGACTAATAACAACAAAATTTAGCAACAAAGGCCAGATGCAGTGGCTAAATATAACTGTCTAAAAGAAAGTGGCAGGCGCCTACTATTTTGTGGCTTTAGACACACAGTCATGAAATATGTCAGTAAAAACCAAAGTAGCAACATATATTTGGCATCTTTTCCTAATCTTACAAACTAGAGAACTGGGTTTTTCTGGAAGCTGAACAGATGTCATTAAAATATTAACTGTTACTTGGAAAATCCTTTTAAAATGCAGTGTAGTTATAAGGGAAGTCTTGCTTTCAATATAAACTCCATCATAATGGGCCCTTTAAGCTGGCTCCTCTTCTACTCTAATTGCACCAGCCAGACTGAATTTGTACTTTTACTTTAAAGCAATTGACTACAGATCTATATGCATGTTTCCTCCTATATTCAGAACTCAGAATTTAGTTTATAATCTAAAAAAAGCAATATACAATTATGAAAAGTAAGGAAGCCACTAGTTTTCTCACATGATATATATGTATAAAGATGCAAATAACTGTTCACCTAGACAGATTTTGGGAATCATAACTTTCTGAAATCTCGAGTTACCTTGCAACTTGACTGGCATCATTATTGGCACAGTATAAGAATTTTGTTGATGGTTTTCAGCTGTTCCTAATGAAAAACAGATTAAATGTTTTACCTAAGGGATGTCCCAGCAATGGGGTAATTTTGGCATCTGGATTGGAGCCCTTAGAAATAAAGCCAAATTTCTATAAATTTTCATAGGCCACTGCAAAATTAAAGTCATACAAGGGTGGTACTTCTCTATGGTCTGTGCTCCAAGTTCTTTTAACAAAAGAGAGAGTGACAGAGTGCTGAAGAGCCAAAACTTAACTGAGGCACTATGGTTGCCAATGCAAATTACTAGTAATAGATATAGGGCAAAACTTATCACCGTGAACTTCCCTATCAAATTAATTTGTTTTCCTGAAAGCTTAGAATCATCTCTGATTCTTCTGTCTCCTTCATCTTCCATGTCTAGTCAATCCTGAAACACTCATAATTTTACCTCTTGTATATTGATTGAACCCAGGTCCCCTGCTCCACCCAATTATAGATTCTCACATCAGGCCCTTATTATCTCTCTATTGAATTGCTATGAATCTCTCCTTCCCCATCACACTGGTGCCCTAGCTTGCAGCCCAGGTCCCTCAAATTAAACCTCAAGAGAGCTGCCAGTGTGAACTGTGAACTGCCGAGAAATCAGATGAGCCTGTATCACCATACCCTTGCCCCTCTTCCATCTATGGACCAGTCAAAGACTGGCTATCTCTACAGACACAGAATCCCTTTGCTTTCAAATTCCATCAGTAGTAAACTTAAAAGTTCCCCTTCACCATGCAAGTTCACTTCAGTGTCCTTGTTCACAGTGTGGTGTATTGTGTCCTGCTGACCCCATTCTCCCATTTTCCCAACTTCGTCATGTGACAAATGCCTATTAATTTCTCAGGGTGCCATTGAAAAATTACTCCTTTAGGCAACATTCCACGGCCTCTGGCTTCTGGTCTCACCCCCTCCCTCTACCCCAGGGAAGGCTGGCTCATGCACCACCTTACTCTGGACTTTGGGAGTGTCCTGGGCACACCTGGTCATTGGACAGTGAAACTGTACCTATTTATTACTCTCTCAACCACCCGAATTGTGATCTCCTCAAAGCTTGGGGCCATGTTTGTTTTTGTTTGCACCTCCTGGGCCTAACACAGTGCTTGGTGTATGTGTAGCAATTAGTCAATAAATACCATCCTGGATGGCACTGTTTCCAATGAGGAACCATTCACTTGGAACTGTGGCACTTCCATAAAAGTGCAACTTCACCTTCCAAGTTTGATAGCACTTCTCACACAACAACTCGGAAGTCTCATTCTCCCACCAACCCGAGCACAGCTGCACAGCAACAGCCAAGCACAAAGCAGAGCAGAAGTCAGAGCAGAAATGAGAATTTCAAGTATGAAAACTCAGAAGGCTCTTTTTCTCTCTTTTAGAACCTAGTTATCCTTACTTTACACCAAATTCTAAATCTGTGTGTAAGCCGATAAACTATGAGAAACAACAAATCAAAAGGAAGAGAGAGGCGTGGAAGCTGATAGCAGTACTACAAGAAAACAACATGCAAAATAACAGATACGAATAGAATTTTATGCAATGTTGAAAACGTTCTATCTCTGTGATAACGCAGTAGCCATTAGACACACCCATGGCTATTGAAAACTTCAAGTGTGACCAATGTGATCAGAAACTGAATATTTAACATCATTTGTTGGAATTAATTTATATTCAAATTTAGCTATGTGTGTGTGGTGGCTACTGTGTAGTACTCCCAAGGCTCAGCCATTATGTAGGCAAACAGCTGAGAGCGTCCCCGCCCGCCCAAAGGCTTTGCTTCTTGGCAGTGCCACACAGATGTGACAGCCATGGAGATGATCTCCTGCAGAGGTCACAGGCCGGGTGGACTGTGTTCAGCATACTTCATTTGAGAAAGCAGGGTGTGTACAAACACTTAAGGAAGCCTTTTTGCTCCAACAGAATCAGATAAAACTAGGCCATCTGGAAAACGTCACTCTTCAACGTTAGTTTGTGTTTTGATATGTTGCATAAAAGAAATCCTCATGCTCTCCTCCAAGTCCGTGGGCTCCTCTTCTCCCTACTCCCTTCTCCTTCCTTTCCACTCTCTCATTCTAAAAATTAGTGCACGAGGACCTCTAGGAACTCAAAACCAGTGTCACTGTCCCACTACGGCCTGCGCTGGCCTCCGTTTGCAACCAAAAACCACTCCCAACCTTCATCCCTCTTACCTTGCTTAATTTTTCCATAGAATTTATCTGTTTCCCGCTGCATCCACTACACTACTGTTAGTTAGCTCTGTGGGCGGTAGAAATGCTTGTCTTTCTTACTCATTAATGTTACCAAAATGCCTGAAATGGTGCTGGACACACAATGTATAAAATTCACACGTATAGTCATGGGCACAAATATACATATGCACACAAATATACTGAAATGAAAAATAAAAATAAATAAAATATTAAAAAATAATGCAAAAGTATAAAAGTCTAATAATACCCCATCTCTGGTCACCCTCCAAAAATATATACTTCTAAGGAAATTGTGCATTTCTGTATATTCTATCAGAATAACTGGTGATAATGAAAATAATAGCTATATTTGAGTAGTTATTGTTTATACTAATGTTCACAGAGACTCCGCAGATGAGTTATTAGAAGGAAGCTGAGGTGCAAAAAAACAAGTTCATACAACTACTAGGTGTCGAAGCCCAGATGTGAGTTACTGGCTTTCTGACTCCAAGGGTCATGCCCCTCCCACTAACTGCATTGCTATTTTTTCCCCCAGAATGTAAAATACACCAAAAGAAAATCTGTATTTTTATTTTTAAGAGGATTAACAAGAAAAAATAGATATACAAAATTCTGCCTAAGTTACTTTTTCCTTAGTCTACTCAGGATCCTGCTCCTACGTCAGGCTGTGGTTATCACACCTGGTCCCAATCTGTTACCAGGGGGTGGGTGAGGGCTGCTTCAGTCTAGGACAAGAGTCATCAGACTCTGAAACAGAAAGGAAAAGGGTTATGGTGGTTAATTCTGAAGAAAATGTGGGGCTGGCACCAACTAAAAAATAATTCATATTATAAAGTGACTTTCTTGACTACAGCTGATTATCATAAAAATAGAATAAAAAATTCTCGGGTCCTTTTTACTCTCCCTGGCTGATTTCAAATTGATCAATTTCTTTTTCAGCACTTTACCCTGCACGTCACTAGGCAGTCTCCTCACAGTGACAGCAGACCCTGACTGCCCTGGGATTGGCTCAAGTCATTTGCTTTACGGAGAATCCGATAAAGACATTCCAATTGCAGTCTCTTCTGACATGGCGCCTCCCAAGAACAGTTAAGAGTAGGAAGATCGTGAAGTGAGAATTTTATGTTTTCTGCTATTAAAAGGAAAAGACTACAGACAGAAAAACGTGTCTCTGGGGCTCACTTCACTGTGGTATGCTTTAGGAAATTGACTCTGATTTCAGAAGACTTAACCCTAAACAGGAAACACTTCGGGCCCACCCAAACGGAAGCATAGCTTCTTATACTTATCACATAAAATTATCCCAAGTTCGCCG